CCCCCCCAGATATATATGTCTCCACTTTAAAAAAAAAATTCTCTTAAAATTTAGCCGAGGTCAATCTACGGCCCACAATTAAAATCCGATGTCAGACTGGGTCGCAGCATAAAATCTAGAAGCAGGCTCCGAGTCGCATCACACATCACATCTCCAAGCACGGCACACAGACAGGCAGATGCACATAATAACTTCACGACTGGAGACTGTGTCGCAGCATCACATCTTGAAGCAGGCAGACAAATTTCCAGACTCTGTATCTGACCACACAACACAGCTTCCAACAAACAGACAGGCAGACGGACATTATAGGAGACTGTGTCGTATATCACACTTTTGAACAGGCAGACATGTAGACGGACATATTTGGAGATTGTGTTTCGTATCCCACCTTCAAACAGGCAGACGGGCAGACGGACATATTTCGAGACTCTGCATCGTATCGCATCACCAGACGGACATATTATTTTGAGATACTGCACTGCATTGCGTCACCAAACAGACATGATATCATTTCGAGACTCCACATCGCATCACCAAACGGACATATAATTCCGAGACTCTGCATCGCGTCCCATCACATCTTTAACTTCCCGACCAGACCCGAGACCTCGGCCAGCTGATGGTAGTTGTCCTCCCCTAGCTCACCACCCGCTTCCTCTCCTCCATGGCTTTGAGCCGCTGCGTTCTTGGCAGTGCCCTTGACCTTGGGAAGTCTGAGGGTGCAGGGCAGCATCTCTCGCATGACGGTGTGGTGTGTGACCAGCGCTGGGAGGGTAGACCACTCCTTGTCCAGACCCTGTGGGAGAAAGAGGATGGTTTAAATTTTGTTCTAAGTATTAGTGAGAATTTTACGCCATTTGTAAGACAATAAGGTCATGAAAGTATAACACATTAGAGTAAGTTTTAGTAAGTTCTAAGGCACTTGAGAGACACATACTGAAGGCAAATGAGGCAGGGGTAAGCTTAGAGTAAGCTAAGAGCAACTTACTTGGAGAACCTAAAGAGATGTGTGACGAGGAAAGATCAGGGTAATATAGCTTTTTTTAAAACATCCGGAAAAAGAATGAATAGAGAACTATGATTGCCGAAAGTCTGTCGTAAATCTACCATTTGATGAATAATGATGACGATGATGATGATGATGATGATGATGATGATGATGATGATGATGATGATGATGATGAACGAGGAGGATGAGGAAGAGGAGGAGGAGGAGGAGGCACTTGAACATACATACGTCATATAAACGCCAAACTTTATATGTGTAGATAGAGGGTACATATAACGAAGAAAAGGAGGAGAAAAGAGGACGACATATTTGATAGGAAAGAAGGAATAAACGAATGTGATTCGGGGGAGACAGGACTACTTTGACGAATAAGAAATTAAGGGAGGTCACTTTGTTAAGTAAAATTCTATTCCTTGAGTTGTGTCCCTTCCCTTTCTCAGAACGTGGGTGTTTCTTTAACTCAGCTTCTTCAGATCTAAGAAAACTTAGGTTTGTAGCGAACCCAAAGTCTAGGCTTTTTTTTTTAATCTAAAAAAAAAAACAAATAAAAAAGAAATACAAAAAAACAAACAAACAGACAGACAGACAGACAAACAGACAAATAAACACAAACGTTCCGATGAATGAGCCCGCAATTTGACGACACCCACAACAGAAAACACACTTCTTATCAAAGGTTTCTACTCTCTACAGGGATAGATCTAAAACAATTATTTCGGAGAAATGACTTTCATTGGTCCTAAAAGGAAGTCCCTTCTCTTACTAAGAGAGTCCCC